CCCCGCCTCCCCAGCTCTTCAACTCCCCGCCTCCGCACTTCGTCCTCCCTGCTGCTTCACCCCCCCTCCTCGCCTCGCCTCGCCCCTTCTCGCCGCGCCTCGCCTCGCCTCGCCCCGTCCCTCCTCGCCTCAACCGCCCGCCCTCGCCTCACGCGCCACCCCCCGCCTCGCCCATTTTCGGCCGTAGTGTTCTCTAGTTCTATGGCTTCCACTGTCTCAGTTTCGTCATTTCTTGCTGTTAGTACCTCTCTCGCGAGCGTCGCCCGTCCCTGTGGTCTTTTGAGCTCACGTTTCGTTCTCCCCAATTTAGTGCTGTTTTAATCTGTCTACCGCTTCTTTAATCTGATGGCAGCCTTTGCGGTCCTATCAATTTTTTGTGGGCCCTTCTGCTGCCGTGCCTGGCTGTTTGCTCACCGTGCGCTTTCAGGCCTTTACGGAGATTCCATCAGCTCCTTGCTTAGCTCAGCCGGCGCGCTCTAAGGGCACCAGGCTTTCATGAAGGCGAGTGTAGGCGGCTGAAAGGAAAGGACGGAGTTGTAGTTTGATGACCGATGCGTGGGAGTATGGGATGCGGATACGTCAAGTGAGCAACGACGATGTTTTGTGGCTGGTTTTCGCGTTATGGACGTAGGGTTAGGGTAGCTTGAGGAATTGGGAGCGTGAGGCTATGAGATGGGCGATGGACAAGATGAGATGGCAAGGAACGAGTGCGGAGGAGATGGAGCCCTATGGACGGGAGCCCCCCCCCCCCGAGCTTGGCAGGGTTAGTATGACCTGGGTAAAAGTGGTGACGATCGATAAAATCTGGATTGAGAGTTCGACTGAGTGTCGGTCGGGGCACGCACCAGAGATCAGGGGACACAAAGCAGGTATAATGGAAACTGGAGGGGAGAGAGAGAGAGAGAGAGGACACAAGGCGGGGACAACGGGGAAATTTGGAAAAGGTGCGAGCGCGCGATCAGAAAATGCAGAGAGAGAGAGAGAAGAGGGGTGGGGGCCAGAACATTTGGGATGTAGTTCCTGTCTACTGCACTCGTTCATTGGGCCTGCTTGCAATACTTTTGGGCGGGCGGAGAACCTCCTTGAGGAGGGCGAGGCTCTTACGAAGCAGTTGGAAGGGATGTCTGTGTCGATGCCGTTTCGGCTCGCCCGTGCACCAAATCGAGAGGGTCATTTTGGCCTCGTCGAGTTTGTTCTGCTTTTAGGGTCTTTGATGATGTTGTGTTTCTTGTCTTTGTGATCCTGAATCGTAGGCGTTCTGTTGTGTTTGCCAACTTAGGTGCTGTCGCTGATGCCAATAAAGTAATCGAGCTGGATCCGAAATTTAAGAAGGCGCATTTGAGGAAAGGGTGAGTTCTTGTACTTGTTATCAAGAGCTGTATTTTATTTGTCGATTATTACTGTATGAGCTCGATTAGGGCTCGTTCGCCCCGCGTCTTTTCTTCGCTTTTCTTTGTTCCTCCACGTTATTGAAGTCTTGCTTAAGACCTACGTTTTGTACTATTTCCCGCGCTTTGTCCACTCCCTTATTTGTCTTTTGATTGGTCTGTTCTGTTCGAAAGACGGGTTGTGTCAGAGGCGAGGAGGGGCCCACCTTTGTTCTCTTTTCATGACTTCTGGCTTTGTGACGGAGATCGTCGACAACAACTGCGTCTGCGCTGTGTGGTGTTCTGTGTGGTGTGTGTCGGGTTGGACACTACAGCCTTCTTGCAGGGTTGGGGTTGATATCACGACTATGGTAGTATGGTTCCATTGCAGGGGTGGGGTAGATATCACGACCAGTATGGTTCCCCTTCCCTACAGCCTTCTTGCAGGGGTGGGGTTGATATCACAACTATGGTAGTATGGTTCCATTGCAGGGGTGGGGTAGATATCACGACCAGTATGGTTCCCCTTTTGAACACCGTGTCCTGGCTTCAGTGGTTAAAATAAAAAAAAAATAAAAAAACCTCGGCTCTCGAGGCCGAGGTCACCGGTTCGAATCTGTGCTTGCACTGAGGGCCTTTGGCCCATACATGCGGAACTATAAACTACTGCAGTAAACGGTGAACGAAATCGTGGTGCACGATATTTGACCAGGGGTGTGGTTGATATCACTACTACGGTAGTATGGTTCCATTGCAGGGGTGGGGTAGATATCACGACCAGTATGGTTCCCCTTTTGAACACCGTGTCCTGGCTTTAGTGGTTAAATAAAAAAATAAAAAAATAAAAAAATAAAAACAACAACCTCGGCTCTCGAGGCCGAGCTCGCAGGTTCGACTCTGTGCTTGCACTGAGGGCCTTTGGCCCGTACGTGCGGAACTATAAACTACTGCAGTAAACAGTGAACGAAATCGTGGTGCACGATATTTGACCAGCGGTGAAGTTGCAGGTTGTGCGCAATTCAACACCCAACTCCCCGCAATCAAATGGCCTGGAGGATAGGTAGAACCGGTTAGACGTGTCCGAAATCGTGGCCAGAAGGGCCTATAACTTATGCTGGGCGGAAACAGTTCGCAGCCCGTCAGGGTTGCGTTTTCCCCCGGAAGACATTTTTCGTCGTTTTCCCCCCGGAAGACATTTTTCGTGACATTTTTCATCGTCGTTGTTATACCGGTCGTTCATTCCGGCTGGTTGATCGTTGGAAGGCTCCAAAAATGCAGGCACGTGCAGGCAGGTCACTTTAGGGGCTAGTGGCAGCTAGTGATAGTTTACCGTTTTTTTTCGAGTGTCAATGATTGAAGGTTTGATGCGAGTAAAGATGACCAGTTTTTTTCCAAGTGTGTAGCTGTTTGAAGAGAGCAGATTGGTGTACTTGTAGTGAAAGAGGAGTGTGAGTGAAATGTTTCCTGAGCGAAACAGACTGCGTTATTGAGTGTGCGTAATTTGTCTCGGTGGCATGGTTTCTTGCCTTTCTGAATTGTCTTGCTTGCATGTTTCCCGTATGTGGCTTGTTGTGAAAATGTAGCATAGCCTGTTTTAACTTGGAGGAATATGAGACTGCGAAGGAGGCTTTTGAAGCGGGGAATGAAATCGACCCGTCTGACGAGTACCGGAAATGGATTAGGAAATGTGAAGCAGAAATCGAAGGTACGATTGCGGAGATGGGCTTTCATTCTGCTCAAGGCTATTGCCATTTTTGTCACCGCCAATTGTGTGTGATAGGCTCAGTTCGTCCTGTGCTTTATTTGGATTTTCAGAGTTGAAACTATTGTCAGTGTTGCCGCCGCCGCCGTCATGATGACTGCCAGTGTATCCTCGTGACTGTTACGCCGTTGTCCTTACTTTCACCGTCTTCACTGTTTCTCTTGCCCCATTGTCACTGTTTGCACTGTTTCCCTTGCTCCACTATCACCGTTTTTACTTCTCTTGTCTCACCTGTCCCGTCGCTGAATACATAATTACCACAGTGAGTTGTGGTGATGATTGCCACTTTGTTAGCGATGTTCCGATGTTCGTCTCTCTTGTTGTTGTGACTGCCACTTTGGCGGCGATGGTGTATTGTGTTTCGAATGTCAATGGAGTGAAGCGCTACTGGAGCGAAACGTCAGAGTAAATATCATGAATTGCTGCAATGTTACTGCAGTAAATGTCATGGAGTGAGACTTTAACTGGCAAGAGTTTAAAAACTTGTCTGACTGAACCGATTGACGTTCGTTGACGTCATGATTTGATGCATGTCATTTTGTCGATTTCTTGTTTGGCTTGTTTACTGTGGTGGTTTCGAGTCTTGGTTGTAATGATGGAGGTCCTGGTCCTGGTTCTGCTTGTATTTATTATTTGTAAATCGTGTGCCTGACTTTTCTCCTTTGCTTTTTTTTAATCTTTTATAGAGATGTGTTTGGGCGCAAGTTCGGCCTGTCCTGAAAGTATCCGACCGTGATTACGCCCAGAAACAAGTTGGAAAAGTCCTAATGTGCGGTGGAGATTTATGACGACTAATGTGTTTGTGACTTCTGGGTTGATAAGGAAGTGGGGTAATACCTCACCCCCTACTCCTTTTGCCGCCCCCAAAAACCATTAAACGGAGAACAGAATGGAACAGAATGGGCTTCCCTTGACAAAGTCTCCTTTTTTTCCTTCATTTGAGTACGTTTCATTGAGTTGAAGATCTGTGTTCTTTTCCCTCATGCTATTGATGCGCTGAACTTTTGCGCCCAATGCAGATGAGTTGGCAAGCCGTTCTACTGGTCAAGGGGAGTGCTCACCAGTGAGCAGTGCACCGGCAAGCATGGACGAGGAACCGGCATCACCTGTGGAGATGCCTGTGSCTCCGCCCCCGCCTCCACCGCCGCGATTCCGGTAGGCTGATTATTCTGTACCACATGATGTTATTTTCCTGATTGCTGTCCGGCGAAGCAATGGGCCCTGAATGCAGCTTATTATAGACTTTCTGCACCCAAGAAAATACAACGGTCGTCTCTTGTACTCTCAAAGCATCTCTGTGTTCCGGCTTTGTTGTCATGTGGTCCCCGCATCTGAACTTTTGTTCGCATCTTTCCCACTGGATTGAAGTGGTCCATGGAGACTTGTTGTTGGCAGTTGTGACCAGGTGTATCTCGTGAATGTCGTTTTTTTTTGTTTTTTTTTTTGACCATTTTTCGATTTATGCGTGTCATCCTTGCACAGGGGCCATGCTAATCTTCTCTGTATTGTTCCGATTTTAACGGATGTCCCGAAGGACAATATCGTGTTTTTGGGGTTGTGCAGTGATGTGAAAATGACGGAACACGTTTTGTGGCGATTGCACCTCTCTCTCAAAGAGTCGGTTCGACGTTGGACCTTGTTGACTGGTAGTTCATTTCGGTCCTGTGCTGGCAGAAGCCTGAATGTTTTGTGAATGCTCAGTGCTTTTCAAAGTGAAATGCAAGACATGAAAAAAAATTGACGTAAGAAGGTAAAAGAGTAAAGTGGAAATGTACAACTCCCTGGAACGTTCTTCTCTCGTTTGTATTTGTCATTGATGCTCGTGGTGTCCTTCTGAAGAAGTCTTTAGTTTATGCAGTATTGTGAAATGATGGCCACGGAATGCAATCCTGACAGTGCGAATGAATGAACTGATGGTGTTGGCGGTGAGAGAGGGTACATTGCTGTAAACAAATGTGGCTATTCCATGAAACTGTCCTGCTGACGTTTTGCTATGTCAAATGTAAGTACAGACCCGCGATGCCCGTCAAATGAAAGGGCAGACCTGGGGTGGCCCAGATGAGTCATAAGATAGGTGTAGAGAAGCCCTTTTAACACCGCACTTTCTCATGGGGATCATTCGCGTTAGGGACTGGCATATTCTATCTTTTTCTTTATGCTATTGACTTTTGCAACTTGGCCGCTTGGCAGTGCAGACCAGGGCTGTGCACACATGGCTGGGCTGGACAGGCTGACATGGTCTCGTCTGGGTGAACTGGCATGAGCCGTCAGAACCTGGTCGTCTGTTCGAATTTGGTTCTGAGGTGGTCTGTGCTTGGCGTGAGCCGTCAGAATCTGGTCGTCTCTTTGAATTTGGTGATGGGTCAAATGGGATTTAGAGGGGTTCGCAAGTTTGTTTCTTTGTTCTTTTGAATTCAAACAGGTTCGTATGGTCCTGGGTACGTGCTCATTCTGGGGACAGTGGGGAGAATCAATCTGGTTCCGTTCTGCCGGTTGCTGAACATTGCATAAGAAAAAAGTTTGAAAAACACACTCGACGTTTCTTTCCTTTTCTTGGCTGAAGGACTTGTGAACAGGGTTGACGACTCTTTTGGGGGGAGGTGTACTGTGAGTCTAGCCTCTTCCTTCTTCTTGCTCCTCTCAGTCTCGGACCTGCTTGGCCTGTTGTACTTTTGAACTCAGACAAGAACCTCCAAGGGAAACGGCTGTAGCAGTGTGTCTAAGTCGTGATTAACGCCGCTTTTTGGCCCTCTCACTGGACTACCAGCTAGGCTGCCTGGATCACCTTGTTTGACGGGGCGGCCCGGCCGTGCAAGCCGTGTAAAACAAAACAGAAAGATCTGAAAAAGAAATTAAAAACTATGTGATGCACAAAAATATGCTGAACAACTTTTGCCTCAGGGTCACATCGACATTCTTTACCACATTTGAAATATATATTTTTTTCTTTTTTTCTTTTTGGCCTGGGTGGGCAAGTTACCCTGGGCCACTCTGGTAGCCTAGCCCTCTCTTACATCTATGTCCTTTGTTATCGTGATAATAAGGAGGAAGGATATTTAATTTTCTTCTTTTGTTTTGGTTGAATTTTCCCATCGGACTGCCCGGCTTGCTGTATGGGACTGCCTAGCTCCTTGCATGGGCCTTGCCTTGCTGGTACAGCCTTGGCCTGGCCGTATGCCGGCGACCCCTCTGGGATCCGATGGTGCGCAGATCTACCCAGCTTTGCAATCGATTCTGCCACATTTCTGAGCTGATGGGTAATATGACAATGTATGTGTGTGTTGTGTGCGGCATTGTTTTGCACACGCCTGTCGTTGTGTGTGTTTGTGGGGCATGCTGGCATGCGCATGCACTTGTTCCTGTTTGAGATGAAAGGAGAGTATCTAGTGTGGTGATGATGGAGGTTGTTATGAAGGGAGGAAGTCGATGCTCATATCTGTGTTTCGGTGTGCACTGCTGGTTTCACATCTGTGATGTTCAGGCATGAGTTTTATCAGTCGGACAAGTATGTGGTTGTGACCATTCTGGCGAAGGGACTGAAGGCAGAGCAGCTGCAAGTCGACTTTGGGGAGCAGTTGGTATGTGTCCTAGTTCACAGCTCTTGAACTGCGGTGCAGCTGGCAGTAATAACCGTGGCCTTATCTAGTTTAGGATAACATAGTATCAGCCTTTTGTAGATCCCAGGCCTTGTGGAAAGTGTATGCACTCAACCTGAATTGTTCAATCATAAAAAATGACCGTGCACACAAGGTGATTATGCAGGAGGAATAGGAGTTACTCCAGCTCGTCATTTTCCTCTCGTCATTTTCCTCCATGGAGTGTTACTCCAGCGTGCCTCTAGCTGCCCTGGCCTAGAGCCCAGTGCTATCTGGCTATTATAGGAGTTACTCCAGCTCGTCATTTTCCTCCATGTAGTGTTACTCCAGCGTGCCTCTAGCTGCCCTGGCCTAGAGCCCAGGGCTATCTGGCTATTTCGACCGTGGCCTGACCTCACAGGCCGTGTGCTTATTCAGTCCAATCCAGTCCTGCCTGGTACCACTGTCGGTACCAGGCCAGTCCAGTCCGGTCAGGCCGCTGGGGGTATGCCCCAACTGCAGTCTGTTTCAGCCTCATTCTTCACTTGCGCAGTTTGGAGTACGTGCGTGGTGAGTCTACGTTGGAGCTGCACTGTCCCTTCCAGCTCCATCTCCATCTCCCTCATCCTCGTCCCTTCGTCTTGATCTTGACGGACCGCCATCCCGGCAGGTCCGTCACACTGGTATCAGAGTGGGAACGGTCCCCACTCTCACCCACCCCATCCCGCAAGTGCTGGAAAAACCGGTGTAATCCAGATAGCGGGATTTTGGGCCATTTTCGGAGCAAACAGATGGGGAAACAGGTGCAGCGCCGAGAGAGCGACACGTGACGCAAAAGGAGAATGCCTTCACGACGTCTGTGCGCCCACGCTGCCCCATCCTGCCCTGCTCCCATGCGTGTGAGTGGCCAGTGGCTTAACACACTGACCAAACTCTGTACATATTCTGGTAGTGTGGCGCGTTGGTGTTGAAGTGTGCCACGTCAGCTATTTACCCTACCCTCCCCCCCCCCCCCCCCCCCCCCCCCCCCCCCCCCCTCTGTTCACGAGCGGCGAGCAGTGGCCAACACAACAGCAGCGGCTGGGCTGCTGCCTGCACACGTGGCAGCTTGCTGAAGATCTTGAAGACCCCCCCTGGCTAGGGGCCTGCACTACAGCTGGGTGGCTGATCAAGATCTCAGCGCACCCAGATGATGATGATGATGATGATGATGATGATGATGATGATGATTATAGCCCCCAGACTGTTTTTAGTCCCGACTTCAGGCGCTCCTCTTCATCACCTTGCCCTGATCCAGAGTGTCCTTTTCCTCCATCGCTTCACATTTCCAGACTGCGGAAAACCTTACACACAGGCGTGGTCATAGTGCCTCGTTACAGCCTTCTCTGCCCCTTCTCCAGCAGCACAGCTCTAGAACGGACAGTGCAAAGCCAAAAGGAATGAGTAGAGGTTCAGGCAGCATGGCACCCACTTTCACAGCAATATCCCTAGAATTCCTGCTGCAATATGATGAGATGCAATGCCAGCAGGATTAAAAGGATCGAAGCCTTCAGCTCCCAAGGCAGGGGATGCTGATTTGAACTTTCCCAGCGATTCCATATGGATCTGAAATCCATATACCAGGAGCAAATAATCCAGTTACATGAAAAGCACCGAACCCAAAGCATGTTGGGTTAAATTGCTGGTATCCTGCCTGCTATATTTGTTCGTGGGTTGAGTCGCTAGTATCATGTCCACTTTATTTGCCTGGACCTCCTGAATTCATGGTGGCCTGGGGCAGGTTTGGTAGAGTCTCGGTAGAGGCTAGGTCTGGGTTCATCCCGAGTTCAAGCTGGCTGAGGTTCTGTACAGGCCTGTTCTGTGATCGTTTTGAAGATTTGGAAAGGTACACCTGTCATTCCTTTCTTTTTTTTGATACGGAGGCAGCACTGATGAAAAGAAAGGTAATGATTTCCAGAAATGAAAAAATACAATGAATTGAAACCGCTATGACGATAGCTGTTGGGCTTTTTTTTTTTTTTTTTTGCGCGTATTTCCCAAAATGAAAAAAACGCAATGGGTTGAAAGCCCTTCCGTGCGAAACTAATGGAATTTTGGAAAAAAAAAAAGTTGTGCAATGAAGAAATGGTGCAGCATATCAAAAGGGCTGTCATGCGAACTCCCGAAATGATTTCTCTCCCCCGTGATGAATCGTATTTGAGTCCATGCAGTCCCTTATTTTTGTGGCTGCTGCTATTTTTTCCTAAAGCCCGGTAGAGGCTCAGGAAATGGATGCAAGCACTGCAAGTGGGTTAGGGAAAATATGAGCCAGGGCACTAGTCCTGACTCCTATAACCAGCGCAAGCCTTGAATTGGAATTGTCCCTTAGTCCAGTTATCACGGAGCATGGACAAAACTCGTCTTACCCATGCGCAGCGGGTCCTCTATTCCCCAGGTATGCTCTGGTGGTGATTGTATTTATGCAACACAGTGTGGCATCTCTTGAATCCTGGATGAGGTCGGGTTGATTCTCATGCAAGACTCAGCTCTAGTGCACATGTTCCACAATACAACGACGATCCGAAATTTAAAAACCTGCGGAAGTGAATCATTTCATGGATGAGTGAGCTGGGTGTATGGTGGGTTCATCTGAGAAAACATAACAGCAGTCAAAACTTGTATTATCTACTGTGTCGTTTATTAGACAACCCGACAAAACAATTGCTGAGCGCAGTCCTTGAACCCTTTTGTAGCCTGTTCACGGACTGGGCTCCCAACACACCAATTGCTGAAAGCAGTCCTTGAACCCGAAAGTTCTTTTCTGGTTTCTCTTCGGCTACCAGCAGGGCAGCCAGAGCAGGCTCTGGTTGCCTGTTGCCCAACTAGTCGACCTGGCCAGGTCCAGAGGCATATGCCGAACGCAGAAATAGAAAAGGGGAGAAGCAGAAAATCCAGGTAGAAAACAATTGCATAGAATTGGGATAGGACACGTTTCACGGAGGACCACTTCAGAATTGGCTCTTTTAATAGGCCCACCGCCCCTCCGAGCCCCTTAAACCCCTTTTGGACCCTGCTGGCAGCCCTGAACTCCCTGTAAGAGAGCCCTCACCAAAGTCTCTGATCAGACCGGATTCTGAATGTGATCCCGCCTCGTTACATTTACCTACCGGATTCTGAATGCGATCCCGTCTGACATTTGACGTTGTCTGCTCAGGCCGAGTGCATTCCCAGAAATAATCTCTTTTCCATTTGACCTGCCTGGTTTTGCAGGGCAGGGGAGGCCTGTCCTTCCGGGTTGGCCTACGCACCCGAACATGCCCAGCTAAAGGACTCTGGTAACCTCAGCCTTTCAGTGTTTTGCATACTCCATCCTGCACGTTTCACACTGGCAAAATACTAGAAAAAAAGGAAAGCATGCTCACATGTGAAAATTCGACACGCGTATCTCAGTGTTTGAGGGGTTATATTGAATACTAGGAATTGCTAGGTTACCTGATCGGACGTCCGGGACCCCCCTGACCGTCCGGGATTGTCCGATCGGACAACTGGTCGGACGTCCTCCCCGGGCAGTCTTTCCGAGCCCCCCCCCCAAAAAAAGACGTCCTCAGAAAAATCTGAAAAAAAAGTATGTTATACAGAAAAATAAACTGAACAACTTTTGCCTTGGAATCATATCGAAATTCGCTGTCAATTTTAAAACAAAAAATAAAATAAAAATCAAACCCTTTTTTTTTCAACTTTTTTCGTGCTTTTAACTGCTAAAAATGGAGTTGTCCGGGCCCGGACGTCCGGGACCCCCCTGACTGTCCGCCCAGGACGTCCTGCCATCGGACAACTGGTAGCCTGGTAGCGCTGGTTGGCTGAAATTGGTAGCGCTGGTTGGCCAGGAGTGGCGTGGCCGTTGTGAAGCTGTGGATGATAATGTTGTGATGGTATGCATGCTGACCTGTACATTTCAACCACGGGACACCAGGATGCATGGACGCAACCTCTATCTGGTATAAGGTTTGTCTCAAGTCCTGATAAATGGCGTGGAAGGGCTCTTGGATTTAGAGTGCTGATGTCAATCCTTGGTCTCAAAATTGTTCGTGGTCCTTGGATGTTGTCATTGCAGCTGCGAGTGGTTATAAAGATGCCAGATGGTGATGATTACTGCTTACAAGAGCGTCTTTTTGCAAAGGTACGATCCGTGTGGGTCTTTACATTTACACACACCCTCTTCCCGCCCAGTTCGCCTCCCTGCCACATTCCAAAACTAGATGCAATAGCTTTGTTACAGTAGTATGGCATGCGAACATCAGGCTAAGCCATTCGATATGGTCAGACCTCTCGGCATTTTTGCGACAAACGGGTTGATAAAGCGAACATGGTCTGAGTGATGCACTTGGAATAGCAAGAGTATGATTCTTGCTCTGACACAATGCCCTCTGTGCAGGTGTGGTCATATCTATGAGCCTATGACAAGACTTGATGACGAGTATGGTGATGACAATCATGATAAATGTAGAGGAGGATGGAGATCGATAGATGGTGATGACAAGTAGACATGACACTGATATGGTGACGATGATAATGCTTGGCAGGGGTGTGATGACCGTCATGATAGTGAAGAGGATGAGGATGATGATGATTCCGGCAAGACGAAGAGGAAGAGGAACAGTGGTGCTGGTAAATGGTGACAATTGAAAAGATAATGACAGTGATGAGAAAATGGGGAATGGGAGTAGGGGAAAGGAGGAGGTGGAGGGAGAATAAGGGGAACACCTGCCGTCATCTGACAATGGGTGAGCCTGCCACAATGGTGTGTGTTGGGTGTGTGGGGTGTGCAGTAAGGTAGGGGTGTGGACTGCAGGTGGTTAAGTGCGATCTTGAGTTTGCTTGCCCGCCAGGTCATGCGTAGCTGCCTTCCAGCGGGCTCGTGTAGTGTCCAGGGAGTTGCTCCTAAAATCAATCCAATACCTGCTAATGGTGCCGCGCGGGGCACAGCATGAAATGCACATACTAAAATAGGGAGGGGGGGAGAGGGAACTTACCAAACCCTAATGGTGCCGTGTGGGGCAC